ACCCCAGAGGTGGCTGCATCTCAGCGCTGGGTGAGCCATTCCTGTGCAGAGACAGGGATGAAGGTTGCTACAATCCCATCAGTTCATTTAACGAGGCAGGACATAACATGCCGGGCGATCTGCCTGGAAACAGCCAGCGAACCCTCAGGCCTGGGCAGACCAGAGAACGGCGCTAAGCAACGAGGCATCAGGTGTGTCAGTTCTCAGCTGCACACACAGTGGGACAGAACCCAGGAGTCCTGGCTCCCCGCCCCCCCCTGCTCTAACCCACTAGACCCCACAGCTGGGGATAGAACCCAGGAGTCCTAAGAGATCCCAGCCCACAGGCTGAATGAGGCACTGGCTGGGTGTGTCCTGGCATCTGTCCTGCTAAGGAGACGCTGGCACCCATCTGTTGGCATCTTTAGGGCTGCTTCCATCCCTCCCTCACAGGACCCAACTTGCAGCCCGCAGCTCCTCCTCACCGATTCCAGCAGAACTAGAGTCGGAGTGGCCAGGACTCCTGGGCTCTATCCCTGGCTCTGAGAGGGGAGTGGGGTCTAATGGTTAGAGTACAGGGGCTCGGAGCCAGGACTCCTGGGTTCGATTATTAATTCCCTGCATGACTGTGTGATCCCTTTAAAGATTAAAGAGGCTAGGACTTTTCAGACTGGAAAAGAGGAGACTAAAGAAGGATATGATAGAGGTATGTAAAATCATGAGTGGTGTGGAGAAAGTGAATAAGGAAAAGTTATTTACTTGTTCCCATAATATAAGAACTAGGGGCCACCACATGAAATTACTGAGCAGCAGGTTTAAAACAAATAAAAGGAAGTTCTTCTTCACACAGCGCACAGTCAACCTGTGGAACTCCTTGCCTGAGGAGGTGGTGAAGGCTAGGACTATAACAGGGTTTAAAAGAGAACTGGATAAATTCATGGAGGTTAAGTCCATTAATGGCTTAATGGCTTTTAGCGAGGATGGGTAAGGGATGGTGTCCCTAGCCTCTGTTTGTCAGAGGGTGGTGATGGGTGGCAGGAGAGAGATCACTTGATCATTGCCTGTTAGGTTCACTCCCTCTGGGGCACCTGGCATTGGCCACTGTTGGCAGACAGGATACTGGGCTGGATGGACCTTTGGTCTGACCCAGTGTGGGCAGTCTTATGTTCTTCCCCCCGCTCTGTGCCTCAGTTTCCCCTGCATGTATAACACTCTTTTCCCATCCAGTACAGTGGGGTTCAGTTTGAGCTCTCAGGTGGGCCAGGTGGGGGCCTGCTGGGGGGCTATGCCGGTCCCCAACTTACCAGGAGGTGGCTGCCATCCTGCGACCGTCCCGAATACAGCATGGTGGTGGGCGTCAATCTCACAGACGGCTGGAAGAGAACGGAAAGGAGGCAGATTAATGTAGGGTCCAGAGCACCGTCTGAGGGCAGAGCAGGGAACAACAGGTGGATCGTGGCAATACAGCTGTGGGGCATAGCCGCTCCCAGATGGGACATGGGGGGTGGGTCTGTGGGGTGTCCACGGGAACAGAAGAGAGAGAGGGAGTGTCAGATGGGGAAAGAATGGGACAGGAACTCAGATAATGAACAAGAAAGAAACAAAAAAAAGCAATGAGAGGGAAAGTGGATGAGGAAGAAAGGAAAGAGAAAGAGGGAGAGAAAAGAGCAAATGAGAAAGAAAAGAAAGACAGGAATGCATGAGGAAGAAATAAAAGGAGCGGGAGTGGGGGAAAGAATGAATGAGACAGGGAAGAAAAAGGTGAGAAATGGGATTGAATGGGGAAGAAATGGCAGGAAGCAGAAAGGAGTGAATGGAGGAAAGAAAAAAGAGAAATGGAGAGAGAAGAATGAATGAGGAAGAAACAAAAAGGAGGGAAGATTGTGAAAGACGCAGAGCAGAGGGAGAGAAAAGAACTAGAGGAGAAAGAACAGGGGAGGTGGAGAAAGGAGCTTCATTCCATTCCTCTGGGGACCCCCACACGGGGCTGGACACCCCCGAGCCAGCACATTACACACACACACACACACACACACACACACACAGAACAGCCAAATGTCATGGGATTCAGGAAGGGGCAGTTCGGGGGAGGAGGAATTGGAAACCCCGACGCAGCAAACGCCACCAGGGTCTGACACACTGGGGGATCCCAGGCTAGATGGGCCCGTGGGTCTGATCCAGGCGGCAGGGGAGGGGCAGGATACCGGGCTAGACGGGCCCTTGGGGGAACCCCGGACTTGGTCGTGCCAAACACCCGAGCTGGCAGTCCCCGCGGCTTTCGCTGCCAGGAGGCACATGGGAGCCCAGACCTGCTGCTGGGACCAACGCCCCAGATTCCCTGGTGATGAGCCAGCACCCGCCTTGGGATGCAGAGCAGCTATAGCCGTCCTGACGCCTTCAATCTGCAAGGCCTGGGAGGGCCGTGGGGGTAATGGCTCCCGTCCCCCAGCCTGTTCCCTTGTGCGGCTGTTCCCCAGCTGCCCCGCCCCAGAGGTGGCTGCATCTCAGCACCAGGCGAGCCATCCTCATTCCTCAGAAACTGGGCCTCACAATTCAGCCCCGTCTTTTAACGGGCTGGGGCCCAGGATTTGGGCCTCCCCTGGCTGAAGTGTGGGCTCTTTAGAGGGGAAGAACAGGAGTTGCCATGGATACCTAGGCAACCGAGAGGGTTGCCACGGCAATACTGCTACCTACCCAGCAACGGGGAAGGGGCTTTCAAAGGAGACTCATTGGAAAAAGCAAACCGGAAATCAAAAGTAGCGAATGCAATGCAGGGGGTGGGGGGCTTCAGATCGGCATCTTCAAGGCCGGATCAAAGCCAGCGCCCCCTAGAGACCCCGTGCCCCATTCCCCACACCCCTGAGTCAGCCAGTCCCTGCCCTGGGGCCAGATTGGAGCTGGCGCCCCCTAGAGGAGAAAGGGCCCCTTAACTTCTGTCTCCAGTCTATTTCACTAAGGCCAGATTAATACCTCCTGGATTGGCAATGCATCCCTTCTTCTGTGGCACGTGTGTGCATGTTTTATTTGCCAGCGGCTGAAATTAATATTTAACTCCCCTCGAGTACAGGGGACGGGCGGTAATTCTTCAGCAAGTCGCCTGGTTTCTCTGAGTAAATATTTGGCTGCTTAACAGTGGCTCATGCTGCCAAGCTCCGTCCCGTATACCCGCCCCCTTTCCCCTTCCTATTTAACACACAGGGACCGACTTTCCCGGCTGCACAGCCATTGTAGCAGGGAATGAATCTGGGTGAGTAACTGCTGTCTCAGCTTGGGGATATGAGCCAAGAGAGGAACAGATGACTCACATACAAGAAACGGGTCGCCCAGCGCGGAGATGCAGCCACCTCTGGGGTGAGGCAGTTGGGGACCAGCCGCGCAGCGAGGCCATAGGGGGTCGGCTCAGCTGGCGCTGAAATGCGGCTGACTCTGGGTAGGGCACAGCAGCCGGCTAACACGTGCGGTGCGCAGGGCTTTGGGACAGGAAGTGAAAAGGAATCCTGTGTCCAACTGAAAGAGCAGAAGGGAATTTGGGAGGGTAGAGCGGAGTCACTGGAGCTGGAATTTGGGCAGGATCTCAGGATAATTGAGCCCCATCCGGCGCTCTGCAGCACAGCGCCCCCTAGCACCACACTGGGACATTGAAGCCAGCTGTGAAAGCCCTCTCCCACACTCCCTGCAGCACAGCACCCCCTAGTGCCACTCACTGGGTTTGCCTCAGTTTCCCTCCAAGCACTGAACGTCCCCTCTGGGAGGGGAAAAGGCTGACTGAGCCAACGCCCCTCACCTTCTCCGCTGCGACGTCAATGGCTGACTGGTTGTAGAAGGAGGTGACTGTCTTGGATCGCTCTCGGGCCAGCTCCACTTGGTGGTTATCCATGACAGAAGTGGATCGGTACCGGAGGGCGGGGGACAGGAGCCAGTGCATGGAGGGGGCCCGGTTCCCCGTTCCCCCCAGCTCCATCCTCAGCAGCGCTTTCCACAGCATCTTCCTGCCTTCACAGACACCTGGAGGTGAGAGACAGGAACACTCAGAACAAAGCTGGCACTGGGATGCGGCTGCCTCTGGGGTGGGATAATGGGCGAACAACCAGACATAACACCACATGGGGATGGCTCGCCCGGCGCTGAGATGCACCGCCTCTGGGGTGAGGCATCTGGGGGGGAATGGCCGCACTCAATGGGGCGGTCTGGGCTGCAAACGTGGGCCCAATCTTGGTTAGGAACTCTCAGCTGCTCTCATAATAGACGGTCTCCAGAAGTCACTTACCTCAGGTGAACTTGGTTATTTTGTGGTGGTTTCCTTCCTTGCCAACAGTGGGGAGCGCCGTTTCCATCTAAAAGAAAAAGACACGCAGTGGGGATTTCACATCCTCATGAAGAGATAATAATTCGCCCCCAGGACTCCTGGGTTCTACTCCCCCGCTCTGCCCCAGCTTCCTGGTGGCATCCTGGGCCAGTCGCCGCACCTGTCTGGGCCTCACTTTCCCCATCGACACAACTGGGAGATTGATCCTGCCTTTGCCTGTTTGAATGGCAAACGCTTCGAGGCAGCGACTGCCTCCCGCTGGGGTCTGCGCCGCGCCAGGCATGATGGGGCCCCCGATCTCAGGCAGGTGGAGGGTCTATGTGACGGGGACCTTGATCTCGGTAGGGGCGCGGGGGGTTCTGGGTAGCACCCAGCATGATGGGGGCCCCGAACTTGGTCAGGGTCATAACCTCTGTGTGTACTGAGAAATTCCGAAAAAGAGAATGTGTGGATTAAACAGGGTAAGTGACAGACAGAAGGGTGTTTACGGGATAGGCAGATAGATGAGACGGGTGGATGTAGATAGATAGATAGATAGATAGATAGATAGAGAAAGCGCGCTGTTTGGAGATGGACGGCTAGCTACAGACAGACGAGAGAACGGAGGCAGAGGGAGATAAATAAAGAGACTGACAGAGAGATCAGAAAGTGACCGAGACACCTGTTGAAAAGCTGGGGGGGAGGGAGGGGGGGGAACCTGGACAGATCACTGAGGGCCTGGCTAGAGAGAGAGCAGATTAAAGAGAAACCCGGGTGACGTGTTTTGTCCTTGGCTTGCCGGATCTGCTCCCTGTGGAGCCCAGCCAAAGAGCTGACAGGGAAGAGACCAGGTGGACAGAGTGGGAAGGGGAGGAGGGGGGCAGAAATGCAGAGAGAGATAGAGAGAAAGAGCGAATCAGTGACTGGACGGAAGAAGAAGGCCAAGCACCGACCTGCGCCCGAGTGGAAGGAAGCCCCTGGAGTCCAGTGCCCATGGAGCGGGTGTCTCTGCACGGCCGCTGACTGGGCAAGTCAAACATCCAGCGTGGGGTTACACGCGCCCTGCCACCAACAGGTGCACGGCCCATTGGTCCCATCCATCCCCGCCCCCATTAGCCAACACCTCCCGCCCCTGTGACACCGGCTGCCGCAGCCAACCAAGGAGCACCCTGCCTATCCGCCCAGAGAGGGGCCCACGGGACCATCCGTGGGTGGATTTGTGCACCAGCATCTGGACCGTGCTGCCGAGGGGGTGTGGAGGGAGTCAGAGAGCAGATGGATGAGTCAGACAATCCAAGGACCTAGGGATGGCCAGACATCCTAGGCATGGACAGACACCCTAAGGGCAGGCAGAGAGACATCCTACAGACAGGCAGACAGATGGACAGACATCCTAGGGATGGACAGACACCATAAGGGTAGGCAGACAGACATCTTAGAGACAAGCAGACAGAAGACCAGACATCCTGGAGATGGACAGACAGATACCCTATGGACAGACAGATGGACAGGCACCCTATGGACGGCCAGACAGCCAGCCAACCTAGGGACAGACAGACAGACATTAAGATGGATATGCGAGAGAAGGATGACAGACGGACTGACATTCCAGGGACCTAGGGATGGGCAGATGCATGGACAGAACCAGGATCCCCCAACGCTTCGCGCAGCGTCTTCGTTCCCAGTTCCCCCTCTCTCCAGCAGCCCCCCAACATCATCCCCAGCCGAGATACCCCCTCCCCCACACTCTAGATCAACTCAAGCTGCTGCTGTGATACACATCCAGTCCCCCCACCCAGTCAATCCCAGATCATGCCGGGGTGGGGGAGGTCATGGGGGAACCTTTCCTTCTGCGGCCCTGGTTCAAATCCCAGGAACGGCCAGAGGATGGGGCCCCTGCCAGGCAGACGTTTGGCAAGATGAATTTGGTGGGTCCGGGCGTCATCCGAAGGCCAGCAGAGAGGGGAAAGTGAGGAGAGCCTCATGGACACGGGGTTATTGGTGTGGGCACAGAAGCCAGGAGTCCTGCCTCTCAGCCCCAACCCCACTAGACCCCACTCCCCTCTCGGAGCCAGGGAGAGAACCCAGGAGCCCTGGCTCTCAGCCCCCCTAGACCCCATTCCCCTCTCAGAGCTGGGGAGAAAACGCAGGAGTCCTGGCTCCCCGCCCTCTGTAACAGACATGGGTGGTCAGATTTTACCTCAGGCCACTGGCATTTAGCCCTGGCGTGACCCACGCACAGACGAGAGGATCCAGAGAGATGCATACCAGGCCCCACCCCAATCGCTCTGTGCCACCTCGCCACCCACAGAAGAGCCATCTGCCACCAGACATCGAAGAGGAGAGAAAAAATGTCAGGACTCCTGGGTTCTATCCCCAGCTCTGGGAGGGGAGTGGGGTCTAGTGGGTTAGAGTGGGGGCGCTGGGAGCCAGGACTCCTGGGTTCTGTCCCCAGCTTTGGGAGGGGAGTGGGGTCTAGTGGGTTAGAGCAGGGGGGGCTGGGAGCTAGGACTCCTGGGTTCTGTCCCCAGCTCTGGGAGGGGAGTGGGGTCTAGTGGGTTAGAGCAGGGGGGGGCTGGGAGCCAGGACTCCTGGGTTCTCTCCCCGGCTCTGGGAGGGGAGTGGGGTCTAGTGGGTTAGAGCAGGGCGGGCTGGGAGCCAGGACTCCTGGGTCCTGAGGCTATCCACCCACCTTGTCCTGGGGTTGGAACAGCTGTTACCGCGGCCCTCTGGGAAGGCAGCGATCACACTAACAGCAGAACAAGGCTCCGTTTGTCAGGCTGGCGCGGTCGGATTGCGAGCACTCTGCAAATGTGCATAGCAGCCTTGCCTGCCCCTCCCCCCCGCCCTGTCCTCAATTCACCCCCAGTAGCTATAACCCGTGGGGATGGTCTCTAGGACATGGAAGGGAGGGGCTGTGTTCCCACAATGCAGCCTGTTCAGGGAAAATGATTTCAGCCTCCCCCTGCCCCCCAATATACAGTCCCACGTTGATGGAAGGGGGCACTGTGTCTTGCGACCCCACAGGTCTCTTTAGCCTGCTGCACTGGGACGGGGCAATATGCGAAGAGTGATCAGGGCCATATACTGGGTATAATGCCTGCTCTGAGGCTGTTATGGGGCAGACAGGCTTCCCCAAGCCCCAGGTGAGCTCAGAGGGGATACCAGCCCTGGACAGACTGTCCAAGGCATGTGGTGCTGGGCCAACGAGCCACGGTCCATCTAGGTACCATGCTGCATACTGTATAAGGCCCAGCTGACATCTAAATTACCCCCTTGTGTTCACAAGCTGCCGAAACCTCTCCATCGCCAAGATCCAACCCAGCCAGATCGCAGGGCTGTGGGGTCTAGTGGTTAGAGCAGGGAGGCTGGGAGCCAGGACTCCTGGGTTCTCTCCCCAGCTCTGGGAGGGGAGGGAGTAAAAAACATTTATCTGTGGTCCAGGGTTGTGCATTTCAGGTCTTGCCCAGGGTGCCCGTATCAGGGGCAGGTACGTGCCAGGCCCCCAGGACAGTCCATCGCCCTCTAGCCCGGGCTCTTTGCACTCCAGAAGGCAGCGCGGGGGGCGGCGGAGCCGGGACAGGACAGCAGGAGTCCAGCCCTGGCAACGGGGACGTACAGCACCGGCGCCTGCCCCCACCACGGCCAAGTCACCGGCATCAAAGCATTGCAGGAGCATCCCTGGCACCCAGCTCCACCCCTGCAGACCCCGCTCTGGGGATGGAACCCAGGCGTCCAGGTCCCAACCCTGCCCCCACCACCCCTCTAACCACTAGACCCTGCTCCCCTCTCAGAGCTGGGGATGGAACCCAGGAGTCCTGATCACCCAGCCCCGCCCTGCTCTGACCACTAAACCCCACTCCTCCCCCTCCCCGGACCGGGCGTGGAACCCAGGTGTCCGAGGCCGGACTCGAACCTGGGGATCAGAAACCCTAGGGCCCGTTTCCCACCCCCTTGCACCACATGGGGAAAGCAGGGAATGGTACAGCCCCACCCCCTCCCGCCGCCACAGTGGTACGTTCTAAAGGGGGCCCTTACCGCCAGGTGCGGGGCCTGCAGGGTTCCACTCTGGGGGACCGGAGCGAGCCAGCTGCCGGCGCTGCTGGAAGGGCGGGGGGGCACCGCAGCCACGGCGCAGCACGGGAGCAGGGTTTCTTGGGAAACGTAGTCCCGCTCGGCCGCCTTCCCTAGGCAAGTCAACAGGAAAGAGCCTTCTGGAGAACTACAAATCCCAGAAGGCTATGCGGTGAGCACGGGCTTCATGGTCGGCTGGCGGCGCAAAGCCTCATGGGGAACGTAGTCCCATAGGGCAGCTCCATGCAAGTCAATGGGAAAAGCCTGCTGGCCTGCCTGCAGTTCCCAGCATGCTCTGCAAAGGGAACAGGTGCCTCCCCCTGCACAAAAAACAGCACAATGCCTCATGGGAGGTGTAGTGTTGGAGTGAAGGAAACTTCTGTGCAGAAGTCACTAGGAGCCAGGACTCCTGGGTTCTAGCCAGGGCTCTGGGAGGAAGTGGATTTGATCTGGGAGCCAGGACTCCTGGGTTCTTTTGTTCATTATTTCTACTACAGAAAAATCTAGAGGCCCCAGGCTCAGAGCAGGTTATGTGCAAGGTGCTGTACCAACACTTTAAAAGGCCATCCCTGTGCCAAAGAGGAGAGGGGACATTTATCTGTTGATGGGGGGTGGGGAGGGGGCACAATTTAAAAGTTCTGGTGGTTTGCAGCAGGCTTCAGGACAGGTACGCAAGAGACAAAGGAGTTTTGATTTCTAGAACTGCTTTTGATGTCATGTTTTACAATACTATGTAATAGCAGATGGAGACTGTTCCAAAAGAAAGGTACCTGGGAAGAAAACTGTGGTTATATGATTCATATGTGCATTAAAAATCTTAACAAGAAAGTTGTCTTAATAGATGGTTAAGAGCTAAGGCCAGTTTTGAAACAAGTTGCCCTGGACCCTTGAAATTCTTTAAAAAAAAAAAACTCAAATTATTATGCATTCTGTCATTTGCTTCTTTGATGTGCTACCTGAAAATAAAGTGCCAGAATCAATCCTGTGAATGAATATAATCCCAACACAACCACATTTACTTTATTATTACAACCAAACCATGTGAGGTTTTGATCGAAAAAACATCTCTCTTTATTTTAGTGAAAATATTGTTTGGAGCAAAGTAACAGTGTGTGCAGAATTGCATTTCTTTCCCCACCAAAAGACAAACAAACATGTTTTGTGTAGAGGTCGGCATAGATACCCCTTGGGTTTTAATTACCCAAATCTCTTGGGTATAAATTATTAGATAAACGACTTTGGATAAAATATAGCACCAATTCTGTTAAAACAACAAGGAGTCCGGTGGCACCTTAAAGACTAACAGATTTATTTGGGCATAGGCTTTCATGGGTAAAAAACCCATTGTTACCACACATTGCTGGCAAGCGTAATTTAGACACAGTTGAAACAGTTTTAATATTAATATTGGAGCTTATTTGAGGTTTTTACTCACGAAAGCTTATGCCCAAATAAATCTGTTAGTCTTTAAGGTGCCACCAGACTCCTTGTTGTTTTTGTAGATACAGACTAACACGGCTACCTCCTGATACAGGGCAATTTAGCCTTCTTAGTGTAGAAAAAGTCCAAACTTCATTGTCTTTTCACCATAGAACAAAGCTAATAACAGGTACACTATTAAATTAACTTAGTTTAAACGTAGACTGTCCTTGAACCGCTTTTCAGAAAAATAAGTAAAAAGCCAAATAAAATTCCAAGGCCTAATGAACATATTTGCGAATGCCATGCTGACTGAAAAAGTGAAAATCATGGGAGAACAATTAAGGTGAAGCGTCAAAGACACCCGTTGGTTATGTTATTAAGGCTTGAAAGTTTGGAAATAAACTACTGCACACACACATATTTTGAACCCGCTCCCTGCAAAAAATATAAATCCTGGCAGAAATATGGGGGGGCACATGACCCCACGCCCCACACGTCGCCTCAGCCAAAGAGCTTAACAGACAGCTGCACCCACCTCTTCCACTGACCTGCAGTGTGACTTTGGGCACATCCCTACCCCACTCTGTATCTCAGTTTCCCCATGTGTCAAACAACTATAATGGTATCTCACCGGTGGCAATGAAGATTAACTAACTTGAATTTGCAAACTGCTTTGAGATGGTAAGTGGAAAGACTCAAGTGAAGGGGAGATTAGACCTTCAGAGTCCCTCCTACTGACACATGCAATTTAGAATTACTGTAAGCAACAGAAGATTTAAGGTCACGCGGGCCCAATTGCCCAGTCAGTGAAATTAACACGCAGGGAAATCTGAACCCTATGCATCTCTGCAGCAAGCAGAGCTGACCTGTGGAACTCACCGCTGCAGAAAAGCAGAGATCAGAGACTGCATTTAGGTGAAACGCACACTGAACATGGATGCTACGATCGGTCTGCAGTGAAAGAAGCCTGCTGGGAGCTCCTGGCTCACCTCAGCAAGGCATCATAGAGAGGTTGCATCTTCCCATGAACCATCCATTGTCGAGCAGAGATGGAAGCAGGACACCAGATTTACTTAGTCCATGGATCTGAGCTGGGGCACCAGGGAGAGGGAAGGACACCAGACTAGATCCAACCCTTGTCCTATCACCATATCCTAAAGCTCTGAACCTTTTGAGCCTGACACCACTATCTACGCATTGCGTGGCTCCCAAGTTTCTAAAGGGTTAAATAACAAGACACCAAACACACCCAGCTGCCGGTTGCTGAGGGCGACTTTATTTCAGCTACAAAAAATGTGCTTTTGTACACAATCAGCGGCCAGCGGACAGCTCCAGCTGGTCTCTTCATTGGCATATTGATTTGGTCCACAGTGCCCCCTGCTGGTCAGTTAACTAAAGTACCGCTGTCATTGCAGCAGGGGCTGTACAAGCCAGGGATATGTAGGGCTAGACTGTGTTCTTGTTGACTCCATTCACACTGAGTTTATCAAGATCAGAATCCAGCCCTGCCTCCATTGATGGCAGTAGG